TAGATAGTTCCACTCTGAGTTATCGTGACCCGACGAACTGGATGGCCACTGCTAGAGCCTTGAGCTTCAATCAACTTAACAACATCCATACCCTCGACAACTTCCCCAAACACGACATGGCGCCCATCGAGCTAATGAACGATCTACAATTCGATTCTTCTAAGTTCCAGAAGGTATGGCAGTACTCACCCATCTCGTTGTTACTGTGGTGATGAAGAACTGAGCAGATTCGAGAAGAAAATGAGATCAGCGAGCTAAACGATAGTATGAGTATGCGGAAAATAAGTGCTGACTTGTGATCCATTTGTATTGGGCCCAGAGTTGGCCATCGAAAGAAGACCAGGTTCTGAGTGAGAGCATCGGAAGTTTTCGTCTGGAGAAAGGAAGTTTCTCATCGATAACGGGCATCGTTCGAGCAAAGGATCGATGGTTACCAGCAAACCAGCTCTCTCCATAAATCGAGTGGCCCCCGGTTCCATTATGAGCGGTGAAGTCACCTCCCTGTAACATGAACTGACAGAAGATGAACAAATTTGAAGATGTATCGCTGGAAGGGGTGCATATACCTTAGGAATAATGCGATGGAAGGTGCTGCCAGCGTAACCAAATCCATATCGACCAGTCGCTAGCTCACGGAAATTCCTGGCTGTTCGGGGAGTGATATCATCATATAGTTCGAAAACTATACGTCCCGCGGGCTGGCCTTGAATTGAAATATCGAACTAAAAATGTACATGTAAGACCTTGAACCTGAACAGTGATTGCTCGGTTAAGGGCTCACAAAAACGTTCGACCTATATTTAATCATGAATCAGAAATTTTGCAGTCGACAGAAACTTCACAAATTGAAAGATTATCTGCTTACATTCAACGTAGATAGCGTGCACTAGACGTGAAAAAGTTTATCTCGACAACTAGTACTAGAACCATTGTGATATGAGGGAAGATTAATTCACACGTGCTGACAGTGTTAGTATCAAATGACAAAGGCTCACTTTTTCACTCAGACCGTGATCTGCTGGGGAGCGATTGGTTGCGATTCTCAACCACTTCGAACAGAGAGAATATGCGAATGGTCAGAAACTGACTTGCGAAGTTTTTATACTTTCATGAGATGATTTCTGATATAGCACTGCTTCGAAATCGCCTTCGACGTTCCATTCAAATGGCTCCAAACCCCCTCAAAGTTTACAGTTACGCTGCTTCTAATCCACCAAATGTTCATGTAGGTACTGAAGCATATGTCACTCATAACTTCTCGGTGGGTGCTAACTTGATACTGTCATTATCCTGACAAAAAATTCCGACACTAGCATGTTGCTAAGTTTTCTTCTATTTTACAATTCCACAAAACGATACTCATCCAAAGCGCCAAGGCTAGACAGGATTCTAACGAATCGAGCCGTTCTCATGCTAATGTATCTTTCTCAATGGTCAGAGTCTTGCCACGTCAAGAGGGAAAACTTACGACTCGGGAAATACCGCATCTAACTATCATTTCATCTCGACCGATGAAAGTCAAGGTGTTCTATTAAATTCTCTAATTTTTTTTTCTGCAAATCGCCTCACTGATTTACATGAATCTAGTCGTGTGCAGATGCTGTATATAGTGTGAGGCACAAGTTTCGTTCTAACTATAACGGTAACCATTGAAGCGTGATAATATACGCAAGGCGTTTTTCCGTCATTGCCCCATATACCTCCTCGAACATCACCAACTGAGGGAAGTTACCTTTGTCCGCTCGAGGGTAGAACCAAAGATGTTATGGCTGATTTCTTTCCCCAAGTCTGCTAACGGAGTTATCCTTTACCGCAGCTTCAGCTGTCGTTCAGTCACTCCAGCATTATCGCACCCCAGTGACATCCCTTACGTGGTTCTTCCCACTCTCCCCTTCTCAGCATTTGATTGACTGTTTTTCTGCACGAGCAAATTTTCTAGACGACAGGACTGGTCAGCTATTATTTGATGACGGCTCTTGCTACCTCAGTGCTGACAATGTGCTGTTGTCGTTCTTGCCTTTTTCACCGTCATAGAAATGTTCATGTGGAACTCGTCATGCTCAGGTGGTCCTTAACCAGCTTCTGGATTAATAATGATATGTTGATGGATAAATCGATGTGATTTTCTCGCATATCTTCGACTGACGGTCCACTGGTTTATTGGAGTGTAGAGTTCGTTGTAATGACGTTCGCAGGCGCATTCATCTCGTCATTGTATTCCACTTCTTTTGAGTCTTCTCAATGCGTATATTCATCCTATCTACAAATGGACAATGGTCGTGCCCCTCTTGGCTCAGTACGAAATCTGAATGTTACATGTCAGGGCAGCAGAATGAGATACCATCTTCCTTTGCTCCACTTATGGACTGGCATGTTGTGTAATGAATCCCCTTCGTTGCTTCCTTTGCCCCAATGAGGCTACCTCATGCTACTCAAATTGGCAACGTGCTTTTCTTTCCAAGACAAGGTTGCATAAATCTTCCCAGGATTACAGGATTACAAGATCTTGGAACTGCAGGTTCGAGTAAATTTTCCGGTGAATTGCCATAGGTGGGGATTCCTGATACTATGCGAATATTTGAGTATTTCAGTCGAACAACCTCCGGGGGGTTTCTGCGAACACGCTGAAGGTGGCATATCCTCTGTCGAAGACCAATAAACCCTCCATTGAGTCCTACAGATTCTCGGGGAGTTGTATTCGGGCCTACCATCATCATGCATGTGGGTTGAATGTTTTTCAATCGATGACCATGACTCAGAAGAACTAGAAGCGAAGGCTCACAAGAAGAGGTGGTGGTAAAAGAAACGTGCTTTGTATCGTAGATGGATATAATATGTATACAGTATGCTTCAGTTTTATTAATGACGAATGTGTATCCTGATTTGCTGACCAGCTATCCCTGAAGGGTGCCGAAGGTCATCCAAGACTGTGACTTCGACTTCACCTTGGCAAGTTCCATTCTCTGCGTCTCCGTTCCCGAGGTGATTGGCCTGTTTCCCGACTACCCGTTGGGAAGAATCACTAGTCATACAAGTACAACGAAATTGGAGTGTATGAAAAGATAGAGATTGCGAAGGATGAGCAAGGGCGCCTTTGTAACTGACGGCTAGAGTAAGCTCATGTGGTACATAATGCATTAACGAGGGATCCTTACTTGAAAGGGACATGTGCAACTTTTTGGACGTCACGGGCGACGAGCAGAGCACGCTTTTCATGACCGCATTCGGGATCAGCGACAATAGAATGGCAAGCTTTGTAGTTAAGGCGCTCATGCTTGCGGACAAGGCTCTTCAATTGCCTATACATCTCTGTAGCTGACTGAAATTCAGTTCCGAAGATCATTGGATCGTTTGCCAACGTTTTCTCGCGTCTCTGTATACAATCATTTGAAAGAGCTTAGGAGAATAGATTTGACGTGAGGCAAGAGCTTCGCACATTATCAATATCAAAGTTATACGAGCTCAAGATGTCTTTGGCTGGTTTCTTTCTCTTTGGCTCTTCGCTGACGACAGCAGCTGCTCGCGCCAGCTTGACCAGTTCACTTCTCTGTTTTTTGTATGCATTCCTCTTCTTTCGACAGGTTGTGCAAGTTTTGAAGCCAGAATCCGCATTTCCACGGCAGCAGCTGCACTTTTCAGGCAATGGCGCGGGAGTAAGTACAGGCATTGAGTGGAGAATTGAAATCCTGGTGAGTGGAAATAACTGTTGACCACGGGAATTGCACGTGCGTGGCGTGTCTTCGGTGGTCCGTGCACAACCCGAGTTTACTTGTCATACTCCGTATTCCTTTTTGCCCGCTTGCGCACCCCTCAGCGAACTACTATGACATCGATCCTTAGTCTCTACAGGTACTTCCAGGCTGAAATCTCACGGATAACTCTTTCATGTACAATTTTTTCAGCGCTGCATTCGCTAGACGTCCCATGGCTACTCAAAGCACGACATCTGCTATAATATTCGGTACCGGAGACATTATCGCTCAGCAAGTTGTTGATAGAAAAGGCTTTAACAATCATGATGTAAGTGCTATATCCAAATCTATAGCCAGATTCGGAGGACGGAACTCATGCCAGCGATGCGTCCAGTTTACCAGGACCGCAAGATTTGTCTTTTACGGAGGTGAACTAAGTTCTCCAAATGCCAAAAGCATTAAACGGATCTAATCTAGTTGACGTCCTCATCTTTTCGTGAATTCAATGTGCACCTCCATGGGTGCAGCGTGTTTGTTCGGACCTGTTCTCACAAAATGGCACCAGTTTATCAATCGCAGACACTTTACGAGTCCTTTACGAGCTGTCGTGTACAAAGTAAGTCGATTAATATGCCTCGTTGTTGTCAAGTGTGGTAAATCGACTTGATCTTCTGAGGTCACTCTTGACCAATTAGTCGCGGCGCCTTGTAAGCTGTTCTCCCACTGTTTCTCAATCCTCACCGACCTTCTCCAGTCATCACAGTACCCATGTTCTTCGGCTCGATGAGCATTTTGGAGGGCCGTCCCGATGAAGCCATTTCGAGGATTAGAAACGTTTGTCCTTTGATGCCTAAAACCAAGAATCAATCCATTGATCTCGTAATGATAGTCCTATGTCTCTACACTAACGCGTGGTTGGTGAGTCGGACAAGAAAATTGAGTTACTTTTCTTAGCCTCAACCCCTCTCAGGTGTCTTTTTATACCAGCGCAAATTGTCAACTTTGCCTTTGTTCCGGTACCAATGCGTATTCTATTTTTCAGCACTGTTGCCTTATGCTGGAGTACGTCGTTCATTCGTGTCAAAAGTGAAATATTTAAACCTACATCCGCATCCTCGACAGACACATATCTATCGTTCTTCAATGCGAAGCAGAAACGATTGCAAGAGCGTTCGCCGTAGCAGTATCATGACCAGTTTGAATTAGAGAGATAGAGACACGGAGACTATTCTTCGAGACAACGACAAAATTCATTCTCATACTCTTCATTTGAGAGATGAGATCATCCTAATCTCTTCATTCAAACAAGCTGGAATGGCCGAGTCGTTAAGGCGATAGATTTGAATTTTCATTATCTATTACTCTCTGAGTGCGTAGGTTCAAATCCTGCTTCCAGCGTTATTTTTTGACTTTCAGCACTGCCGGGAGTGACCAGTTCCAGGCACTGAGATATATTTAGCTTGCTTTGAGCTCGGAGTAACATGCAATACGTCGCTATAGATCTGCATTTGATAAGTATCATAAGTAGACAACTTTTTATCCCGGTTCAATCCAAGAGTCCGATGCCTCTATTTATCAATTTCTTATATGGACTCGGACGGTCCGGTGCACCGTAGAACTATATAAACACCGTCTTAACGTCGCAATCATTATTCGAAATAGCGATGAGTCTCCACTGCCAGACCAAAAAACTTGTTCCATCTTAATCCCTATGATATTCGGCCTCTGTGCTAACCTCGAGACACGCATACGGCACGGAAAATAAAGACTTTAGGTCGGAGGAATTTGTCAATTTATGTGGTGCATCGTTTTCGGCATTCTGTTGGAGTATATAAGTGGGTAATGTCGAGAGGATTTTCTCTATTGATCTCTGATAATCGTCTGGCTGGAAGTCCGCTCTGCTGCTCTTTTTCCTTTACCTTGCTCATAGTTGTTGTGGTTAACAAGCTGCTAAACATTTCCCCTTGAACAATATTCACTGATCGGGGACTTTCCAGGGACACTAACGAAGGAAACCTGCCCGCCTCTTACTTGGGTGCGTAACGATACACCAGCTCACTGAATCTGAGATTTAGGCAGCAATGTACAGCCTCTGATGACCGCACCATTGAAATTTCCAAGGTCGCAAACTGGCGCTGGCTCTATAATGTTAACCAATTGCTACACTGGCAACACTTGATATGCGACTCTCTGTCCTGATCCGACAATTTGCGCTGCGAACTGTGGACTCGGCTGTTGACGATTATTCGATTGACCTCGCTACTATTATAGTAGTTACCGTGTTTAAAGTTTCAACGAGTAGAAGTGCTCTAACTTCAAAGTTTGTCACCCAGTCCGCCCCAAAAAAGTGAGCTCCGCGTCTCTAGCTTGTCCCGGAAGGACCACAAACTATCAGCCATTCAAACTTTTCGAGCAGAAGTTTACATTTGACGTGGATTTTTCTCAACTTCATAGCGGTCCGAACGGTGCACCTTGTTTCTCGCCAATGGACGCAGATGGTGGTATGGTAAGTTTTCATTTTTCAAGTCTCGTTTCTGGGGTAACAAGGCGGGACCAAGTTTGGATTGGATACTGTGATTCTCAAAGCCCCCACGATATCAAGTGCATTGATGGAGAAGCATGTGTTTACCGTCGATCTAAAGACATCGATACATACTAGCCTGAGGCTAAGATTAACAACTGGACTCCAGCTAGTAACAGCTCTAACACGGTAACGAGTGCAACCGGAAATTGTGTTAGGAGAGAAGACAAATTACATCACTGCTCCTTACTTTCAATGTGTTGTACTTAAAATATGGTTCATGTTCTGTCAGGATCCTCCTGACCCACATTCACCCGACGTTCTCCAAGACCGTTACACCGAGACGTCTCGTACGATCCACTTGACTCGTCTCATTATTACTCAGTTACTCATACTGTTTCACTTATACGTCTTATAGGTCTCATTAAGTCTACATATATAAACCCATTGTACTCGTCAGTAGCAATCGTCGAATCAACTCTTGTTATTCCTCCACTTTCCGCTGCCTGAGCCTCTCTTAGACCGCGCCCCTCAGCCCGGTCCCTAACAGTTTGATTCGACCTAAAAAGAAGAATTCAACGGTCGACCCTCTTACAGTTCAGACTTCAACACCATGTCCTATCCCACCAACCCGTATGCCACCGCCCCGATCCCCGAAGATCTCCCTCAATCACCCCAGCCCACCCAAGCTGCCGTCCCCGCAGAGAACGACCCTGTGACTTACGGTATGGTTCAAACCGGTTTCAACAACTTCCAAACGATCTTAAACGGCATCACTGAACGAGTTAACGAGCTCGCCAATCTCGTTTCGACCACGGTAAACCCTGCGATCCCTCCTCGAGCCCCTACACCTCCGTCAACAACACCAGCCATGTTCAACGCAGCCCCACGCAGTCCCAAGTTCAAAGAACCCAGCGTTTTCGATGGTAAAGGCTCGAAAGTTGAAGGATTCATTCAAGAGATTTCAGATGCACTTATTTTACTCCGTAACACCTACACGAGCGAACAAGATAAATGCCTCTACATGGCATCATATCTCGGCGATAGTACACCTCGTGAATGGTACAAGTCCATCCGTATAAACGACCAGATTCGAACGGATGCAGAAAAACTCATTAACAACTTTAATCAGTTCCTCATTGCATTCAAAAAGCATTTTGGCGACTCCCACCTCACCAGCAAAGCCCTCAATAAACTCGAGGACCTTCAACAGACTGGATCAGTATCCACTTACACTGCCCGCTTCCTCGACTGGATCGTGCATCTCAATGTCACCGAAGACACAAAGATTCATTATTTCTATCGAAATCTCAAACCGGATCTCAAAGATATTCTAGCTGGACGTACCGACGCGCCTCGAAATTCGCTAAAGGTGTACTCAGATTGGGTCGAAGAAATCGACAATAACTTCCACAATCGCAATGTCGAACGCAAACGCGAGCGAGAGCGTATCAACAAGAAAACAAACGGCCACTCAAATCAATTAGCTGCTCCCTACGTTAACTACTCAACCCCTTCTACCGCTCCCACCACAACTTATCTTCCCCCAGGAAAACCAATTCAGATCAATGCGTTACAAACACGTCAATCCAAAGTCAGAGGTCCACTAACTCAAGAAGAGAAGGATCGCCGTCGTTCACAAGGTTTGTGCATGTATTGCGGAGGAGAAAACCACGTAGCGGACAACTGCCCTAATAAAAAGAAACCCTCAAACGGCAACAAGTCCTCGAAAGACACGAGCAAGCCTATTCCCTCGTCGGGAAAAGCTTAACCGGTTACCCTTCAGCCCCAGGGTATTCGGTAGACGACGGGGCACGTACCAACGCTCAAGACAGCAAACCGAACCCTTTATACCATCGTAACCACGATGGTTCCTACTCCCTCTCACTCCCAAAAACAGCGCCGTCCTTCATAATGGCACTAAATCCCTCACTACAATTCGTTCTCGCCGTAACACTCCACTTCCCTTTGAAATCACCCATACGCACACATGCACTCATCGACTGTGGTGCATCATCCTCAGTCATATCCACTAAATTTGCCACCAGACACCAATTGTCACGCAGACTTCGAGACATCCCAACGCCAGTAACTGCCGTAGACGATCGACCTATCGCCTCTGGACTGATCACCCAAGACGTAGTCACGTCCCTCTCCATATCCTCCCACTCCGAAATTGTCTCGTTAGCTGTCGTAGACGTTGGTTACCCCATAATACTCGGCCTCGATTGGCTCCACCGTCACAACCCACGCATTGATTGGGCCAACTCATCATTGACACTCACTTGCTGTGACACCAAACCCCTGACAGTGTACGCTACGGGCCATAGTCAGACGCATACACCGTTACCTGCAGATGGAAGAGGCCACGAACTACACCATCCACCCAGTACCCAGATTAATTCCTACTCATTGAATAGAATAGGACTGTCATCAAACCCATCATGGTTTGCCCTTAGCAACGAGAAATCGTCACCAAACGCCCCAAAATCATTCCTCTCAGCACTTCTACATTATACCGAGCAGAAGCAAGAACCTTCCACGTCCCCTGAACCTCATGTCCCCGAAAAACCCAACATCAAAGTCATCAGCGAGAAAAAATTCGCGAAAATTACACGCAACTCATCATCCGATGAGGTAGCGCTACTACACTTCTACGACAATAGTTCCGCAACGTACATAAACTCATTTAAAATGCCACCATCTAACACGGATCCACCAGCCCCTCCTGACACCCAAACCCCCGATTTTCATCAATACATTCCAAATAAATACGCTGACTACGCTGAAACAGTCTTCAACCCCGCTGAGTTCGAAAAGCTTCCTGAACACCGTCCTTTTGATATAGACATTGAGTTGGAAGAGGAAGGGAAATCACCGCCGTTCATGCGCATGTACAAACTCTCAGAGACCGAACGAGAGGCAGTCGCCGAATACGTTCACTCCAATTTGCGACGTGGACACATACGACGCTCAACCTCTTCTGCTGGCGCTCCTGTCCTATTCACAAGAAAGAAGACCAGCGAAATTCGACACTGTGTATTGACTTTCGAGGTCTCAATTCAATCACCAAGAAGAATCGGTTCCCATTACCTCTAGTCGACGACCTGCTAGACCGCGTTCGTGGCTGCAAAATATTCTCCGTTATAGACCTCAAAAGCGCGTACAGTCACCTACGTATTCGAGAGGGAGACAGGTGGAAGACTGCGTTTCGAACGCATTTGGGACTCTTCGAGCACCTAGTTGTTCCATACGGCCTGACAAACGCGCCTGCTGCATGGCAAGCGTTCATCCAAGACGTCCTCAGTGACCTATTGGACATTGTCTGTGTCGTATATCTCGACGACATCCTTATTTTCTCCAAATCCCAACAAGAACATGATACTCATGTTAAACTTGTATTAGATCGCCTTCGCTCCGCAAATCTCTGCGCAAACGCCAAGAAATGCGAGTTCGACAAACTGGAAGTCGAATATTTGGGCTACATCGTAAACTCGACCGGCCTAAAGATGAATCCAAACAAACTCGACACAATCTCGTCCTGGCCCCACATCAGTAAAACGGCAACTGGCCTTTTTCGGCCTTTTTTGAACTTTTTTCGGACTTTTTTGATGTGCCAATGAACTTTGAAAACCTATGCCCGACTCCTTATTTAAGATCACCGGACTTTTCAAAGCTCAGTAAAGATCATAAAAAAGTACGCAAAAGTAGATTAAAAGTACACGAAAAAGGACGAGAAAAGTAAGTGAAAAGAACAATAAAAGTACGCAAAAAGTATATAGAAAGGAATGCTGCTATACATTTTTTGAGAACCGACAATTGCCCAAGTGAGTACGATACACCATGTAGGATGGTCAACGACACCACCGTGCTGTAA